CTTACCGTGAGGCAAGCATTCTGCTAGGTAATTTGTGTGCATTAATTCGTTTTTTAAAAAAAATGGATGAAAATTGGGTATAACACCTTTCTTAAAAATTTGTCACAGGCATTAATTAAAGGAACCTATATGAAGGACTTATAAGTACCTGAAATGTAGTAGATGCCAAATAAAAAACAATAATTCATAGTAGTAGTTAATATTTATTGGGCACTTAGTATGAACCAAGGCTTTGTGATTTTTCCCCCATGTTCTCACAACAATCCTAAAAGCTAGACACAATGTTGTCCACATTTTGCAACTGAAAAAATTGAGACTTAGAGAAGATAAGTAACTTTTCTAAGGTCACTGAGTTCATATGTTTTGTTAGGCTGGGAGACTAAGCCAATACAGGTTGCCTCCACTTTCTCCCTACCTTATTGTAATGCTGAGCTAGTTGCAGCACAGATGTGGGCACAGAATGAGGGTGATACAACAGACAAGCCCTGACCCAAATCCACTCATCCACCGGCAACAGGGTGATAACCCAAGCTGGAGTGTCTGAGGGCCATGCAACTTTAAACCAAATCCCTAAATAAATCAGGAGAGGTCCATTTTTAAGAAGAGAGTCTTAAAGTAATACATATTTCATTATTATGAAAAATAAACCAATTTTATATATGCTTAGTGTGCCCTCTTGTGCATCAAGACTTACTAGCAGGCATCTCCTGGAAAGACTAACAAAAAAGCTACCTGTGTTACATGAATTATTTCAAATCACTATCTGTACATCATATGTATTTTAACTGTGTGAGATTGCTGACTCTCCCTCTAACTATAAACTACAATGAGAAAGAAGAAAATATGCCCAAATTTTGGTAATTTCTGACATTTCTCAACACAATGCTGCCAAGACAATTTATTCCATAAATGTTCATGAAAATGAAAACACAGAAACATACCATGTGCATTTAGTACAGTCGAAAATTATTAGGCAATGGTGGTGACTTACTCCTGCAATAATTACAATACATGGTCATAGCAGCATATAGTAAAGGCAACATATAGCTCAGGAATGCTCAGTGGCACAGGTAATTAATAAATGATAATCGTTAATTATTAATCTCATTTTGGGTACAGTACAAAGTCTCTAATCTCCACTCCAAGGTCAAGTAGGTAGGACATAGGCCCTGGATCAAAAGTCAGAGATCCTAGAATACATTTACTGCTGGAATCTCTTTCAGGCAGAAGAAGGAAGGAATCAACATTTGGAAGCACACAGCTTACTCGTCAGTAGCCCACCATTAGATTTTATCAGGGTCTCCATCCTGAGTGGGTTAGAGTCCATTCTGATTATGTAGTGCCATGATATTCTTCTTATTAAATATCTTAAAATATCCCAGATTTTATCATACTCCTTTTCCAAACAATCATTAAAGCTGAAATCAATTTTAAAATATTGAGAAAAACAGAAATATGCTTACGGAAGTTCAGCAAGACTTTCGTATCCTCCCAAGCTCTCTGCCAGAGTAAATAACTATAGCAAAGAAAACATAAATTGAGATCTTCTAGTAAAATAAAAATACTAAAATATAAAAATAAATGTTTTCAATAAAATGGCCCTGGCAAGAAACTCAGAGAAAAGATGAAAATAAAGTTTATAACAATGATTTCACCAATTAGACATATTATGTTTAAACTTTTATTTAAAACATTAAAACCTGATCCAAGTGAAACCCCTATATCTCCCTAATTTGGCCCTATACTTAAGTAATACTTAATATGAGCTCTAAAATCTCAAAATTATTACATTTGACACCTATCTCTGTGGTTATTATGTAAACACAAAAATCTCTATCAAGTTATATAAACTTACTTGTTAATATTATCACATATTAAATATATCCATTTAACTCCTCACTGGCAGATGAAAAAAGGAAAGAAAAAAACCATGAAGTTTTTCTATTTAGTGTTAACTGCTATTGCCTTTTACAAATGTTTTAAAAATTACTCTCATAACTGTATCAAATTTGGGTCACACCAGGAGGGCTTTGACTAATCTAGCAGGTTTCTATTTATTATTCCCACAGTATTTAAACTGTATGAGTTTAAGGTAAGCCCAGTATATGAAGGTACATAGGCCTCTCTTCCACGAGCCTCCTGCCT